TGTGTACATATGTGTGTGTGTGGCTGTGAGTATCTTTGTGTGTGTGTGTGTGTGTGTGTGTGTGTGTGTGTTAATGCATACAAAATTAAATAGAACATATGAATCACTGCAGCTATGTTATTGAGAATGTAAGCCATCTTTTAGTGAGGTTGTTATCATCTGGAGAAGTTTAATTTTATTTCCTTTATTTGAAAAAGGTTTATGCTTGGGACCAGCAGTTATCATAATGGCTATGTCGCTGGACTCCCATGTGGTCAACCACGGTTTGAGTTCTGGACCCGGTGGCTTCAAACTCACGCCGGGCACATGTGCGTGTGTGCCCAAGATCCCTAGAGGAGAATGGAGGAGAAGAGATTGCAGCATGGCCATCCCCCCTGGGGGGGTGATTTCTCGCTTTCTGTCTCTCTCTGTCTGTCTGGCGAGCACACGCGCCCTATGGCAGAAACCTCTCAAAAAAAAAAAAAGAAAAAAAAAAAAAGGTTTATGCTTTAGCCTTTAACTATAAAGTTTCTTATTATGTTATTAACATTTACTTTTTGATTCACGTTATTCATTTATCTCACAAATATTTTTTGACAGCCTGTGTTTTGCAAAGCAGTCTATGTTCAACTGTTTGAACATAACTAGTTCAGAATTTGGGGGCTAAATGAGCTCCAAGATGCTTTACACTAATCCTAACTTTCCACAAGTTAAGAAGCAAGTCTAGAAGGGTGCACTGAACCAACCAAAATCTCAAAGATGTAGAGCATGAACAAAGATCTCATGGGACCAAATGGTGTTGCAGTGGTAGCACAACTGGCCAAATGAGAAAGATCCTGGGTTTATGTCCTGGACCTTCCTAAGCATGCCAGAAGTACGTATGTGTGCAGGTGATCCAGGCTATGTGAGCTTAGCAGTAGAATGTGATGTGAGGAAAGTGTTAGGGGTTCTATCTCTCTCTCTCTCTTTCTCTGAGGAAATAAGTACATAAACTTAAAAAGAAAATCTCCTAGGGGACCAGCAGATGTCATAATGGTTACATCACTGGACTCCCATGTAGTTGGACCACGATTCAAGACCCGGACCCAGTGGCTTTAAACTCAAATTGGGCATGTGTGCGTGCATGCATGCGTACGTGTCCAAAATCCTTAGAGGAGAATGGAAGAGAAGGAATTGTGTAGCATTCCCATTCCCCCTGGCGGGGTGTGTGTGTGGGGGGGGGTTACTTCTCACCTCCGTCTCTCTGTCTCTGTCTCTCTTCTGCAAGTGCTTTCATCCTACAGCAAAAAAATCTCTCTGAAAACAAACAAACAAAAATCTCCTGACTCAGATTCAGGATTCAGAAGTCCTCCTTAAATCATGTTACACACAGAAAACTCTCTGAAAATCACCTTAAATCCTAAATACATCAATATTTATAGAAATTCCTAAAAGGATAAATTATACTTTATGAACAAATTATATTACATGATTTTTACCTCCAACCTATTTATAACATTTTTAATGTTAAAACACACATTTGAGGGGAAAAAAAAAAAAACAGATAAAGTCAAAAAGTTTAACTGAATGCTTTCTGGGAGCAGGCATCATGTGTAACCTTGATCATATTTATTATATTTCCCCATCACAGTGATGTATTCATAGCAAAAATGCAACAAATATGGATGAAATTAATAAAACTGTGTGTGAAAGTATAGAGTGCGGACATTAGGTTCTCAGAATGATTGGTGGAAAGAAAAATCAACTTGAGTGTGGAAAAGCAAAATTAAGTCTTTGGGGAAGGTTTAGAATTTAAATTGAGCCATCACTAATGGCTGTAATGTAATTAGACAAAGAAGAACTCCCAAGTCCAAAATTACTTGGTAAGCTCAATTTCTATCAAGACTTTAGATACAGGTTTTCTGAGTTACTTGCTTTCAAATTTCACCTCCATGGGTCAGCAGGTGGAGTGGTGGTTAAGGGCACTGGACTCCCACATGGCCGACTGTGGTTTGAGTCCCAGACCTGGTGGCTTGCTTTCTCACTTTCTCTCTCTCTCTTTCTTTCTCACCATGTTCCTCTCTAGTCATATTAAAATCAACTTTCACTTCCAAGCATGATTTCATAAAACATGTATGTTCATGAGAAAAATAATATGCTATGTCTGCTGAGGGATTTACAAGAGGATATTAATCATTATATTGTTTATAAAATCATTTTAAAATGGAACCAACTATCAATGGACTAATGGGACATTCAAATTAAAATGGATGATTATTGTAGATCTAAATTTTACAGTATGCAAAGACCTCTCTATTGTAGTGTAAAAATATGAAGCTGCAAAACTGTAAATATATGCAATGATCTCATTTTTGTCAAAGAAAATTTATGAAATGACAAATTATATAAAGTAGTATAATAAACATTTTATTCTTTTTTAGGTTTTTGGAATTTTCAAAAAATCTTACAACAAACACTTACGAAAAGTATTAAACTTTATTTTGGTTGTGAGAAAAGCTCTAAATTTATTGTTGATTTTCCATGGATATGAAAGCTATAGAACAGTGATCTCCATTCATTGAACAACTTTTTTTTTTTTTTTTTTAGATTTTTGCTGTTGGGCACATGTATTCACTGGAGAGAGACAGACAGAGAAAGAGAAAGTGAGAAATCAACCCCCAAGGAGGATGACTATGCCACAATCTCTTCTCCATTCTCTACTGCAGATTTGGCACACATACACACATGCACCCAGTGTGATTTTCAAGCCATTGGGTCTAGAGCTTGAACCACAATCAGTCATGTGTGAGTCAGGCATTTTAACTACCACAACACCTGTTGGCCCTATTGAAAAACTTTTCATAAGCACCTATTATGACTAGACCTATGAACAAAAGTCAAAAATCTTTTTTTTTAGCTCCTTATGACCTTAATAGGCCATGAGATTTATAAAAGGAGCACCAGAGTGTTAATATTTCTTTCTGACTTACCACTTCAGAGTGATTCTTCTGAAGGGCCAAGTTTTCTTCTTTTCTGCTAGTGGGCACGCGTGCTTGCCAAAGAAAGAGGGAGAGGAGAAAGGACCCCTAGTGTGGAAAAGTCACACTGCCATCCCTTTTCTTCCATTTCTCTCTCCCTTCAGGATTTTAGGCATGCAAGGATACACGTAGGGCATGTTTCTTAGGCTGCTGGGTCCAGAACTCCAACCACAGGGTCGGCCATGTGGCATCCAGCTGTCTCAACCACCAGGCCATGGAGCTGGCTCCTGAAGTGCAGATTTTTTTAAACAAAACTGGTCTCTGTGTTCTGTTAGCCCAGTGTCTAGACAAGGAACAAATTTATAGAGGTCTTTCCATGCCTGACTTTTTAATTGAAATAATTCACTTCTCTCTTTTTCCTATAAGGAATTAAAGCAACTTGACATTTAGGGCCAGAGAAAAATGTTTAATGTGTTTTGAGTTGACATTAAAAATTTATACATGTAATAATTATACTTTAATTCCATGCTATATCATTTTCTACTCCTGTGGAATATATTTTTAGATATTTAATTACATGGTACAATAATTCTGTCTGTATTTATTGTTAATTTTAACACTGCAACTCCCAGAGGGTAGTACTTGTCATCTTGACAAGGCATTAATGCCTAGCACCTTGGCATTCCTTCCTGCAACGGCAATGTCTGAACTTGGCTTTCTGAGGATATGACAGAACATGTCCCAGGCCAAGAAGGACCCTTTGGTAGATTCGTTTCTAATATTCTGCAACTAAGTATGCATTTAGGCTTTTTAAAATACTCATTGTTTAAACATACTTGGTGTTGCTGTATTTTAGTTATGATTTTATTCTGCTATTGCCAGGAATTCGTATATAATTTATGCAAAATTAGCAGCCGAAAGTAATGATTTCTAAATGCTTTTTAGAAATTAATAAGTATTCATATCACCTTCTTAATTTTTAAACTGTCTCTTAGGTAAATACTATGTTTTACAGGTGAGAAAACAGAAGTTTGGTTGGTTAGGTGACTTACCTAAAATCACATAGCTAATAACAAATAGACCTGGGTTTAAACCTGTGTGTCCTGCCTCCACGCCCCATGCTCTTTCAACTGTACTAAGTTGCTAGAACCCTCTCCTGCCTTTGAAGTTGAAAATATGAGGGAATTATTGGGTTGACTAAACCTAATTGTAATTACCCCTGAAGCCACCTCTAATTGTTAAGACTAAAGATATTTTATCTCAGTTCTGTGGAGAACCACTGACAAAGTTTATATAAGGATATAAACATGTGTCCTTAAGCTTTTCTTTGATTGAGCTCTATTGTCCTTCAGCTCACTTTTTTCAAGAACAGTTAACAATCATCAGGGCTGTAAACAACTTGTTATCCTAGGACTCAAAGAAAACAATACATAAATATAGAGGTTAATCCATTGATGTGGTAAATACAGTACTAGTCCTGAATGATATTTAAATTTACTAAATGAGAATATGTAGATTAAACCAATGAATATGGACAAAGAACATTACCTCAGTAACTGCTATAAATGTGAAAAGTCATTATTAGTCATGTACACACTTCTAATCTACTGAACAGTAAAGGAAATTTATTCAATCAGAACTTTCCACTACAGAGAGATTAAAATGTACATTTACATTAACAAGTAGAATTTAGGGCGTCAAAGGAAAATGTAATTGTGATAGATTTGTTAAAGCAATGACTTGAGAAACCTTCTATATCCTTGTATAAAAGTGATTACAAAATAGAGGATATGATATTTTATTTCTTGACCTTAATATGAACATTGTGGTAGGCCCTTGAATTTGTTAGCTTAGAGTAGACAGATTAATTCTAAAGCAGTTGAAAAGAAATTGAATTCCTTTCCTCTCTCTTTTCTTATGGTTAATAGCATGGGAAAATAAATCTCTAAACCAATTCTGAAACAGGATTTAACTGTCTTTCCACTTATGTGTCTCTTCATTTTCTTTTACTCTATAATGGAATTTCTAAAAAATAAAACTATCTTAATTTTCTTTTTACTCCAGACTTGATCCTTCACTACCTGAGTCATTGAAAAAGGAGCACATTTCAACTGAAAACATGTCTTTGGAAACGCTAAGGAACAGCAGTCCAGAAGACCTCTTTGATGAGATTTAACAGTCTCAAAAAAGTACTTTGATGTTCACTAGACTATGTTTTTTATTCATTTCTGTAAAATGAAAAAGCAAAATTTCAGCTGAGCAGCAGCTATTACTGAACCTTACAGTTTAATTACATACACACTGCGATGAAACCATTGTGCAAAATGGATTACACATGTATGTGAAGATCAGATTTGATGACAGTACATTATTCTAAACTATTCATTCAACATGCCTATAATTACATAAAATCTCAGACGTTTTATTGCAAAGGACACACTTATTTCATTCACTCACACATATTATATGTGGTTGCTATCTAACATCCTGTCTAGGAAGATTTTGAAATAGGACAAAGAAAACTTTTTACAATGTCTGCAGTTCTTTTTGAATAGTCATGTTCTCAATAATGATATTTGAGCAATTTAATTTGTGGGATAATATATAAAACAGTTTAGTTTGTATGTAAACAGTATGAAAATCTGAAAATAAAGTTTTTGATATGCTGAAGATATTGTGTTCCTGGTGAAATGTGTTATCTAGCTTCACTTTCTCTTCCACTGTAGTAGCAGGTCTTCATGAAGGGCTTGTTAATATAAATATAACCCTTTTTTGTGTCAAAAGAAAAACATAGACAAGGACCCTGTCGTATACACTTATCTATCCCCAGGAACATTTGACACGTTTTTTTAAAAGTTTCTTTCTTTTTTTTTTAGGGAGATTTTTTCCTGAAGGGCACATGTCCTCACCGGAGAAAAAGAGAGACAGAAAGCAAGAAATCACCCTCTTGGGGGGAATGGCCATGCCAAAATCCCTTCTTCTCTATTCTCCCCTTGGAATTATAGGCACACACGCACACACGCTTTGCATAAATTTTAAGCTACCAGATCCAGAACTCAAACCATGGTTGGGCATGTGAAAGTCCAGTGACGTAACCATTATGCCATCTGCTGATCACAAAAGTTTATTGATTTCTTCTGTGAGTGAGACAGAGAAAGAGAGAGAGAAAGAATTTCCCAATCAGGATCCAAATGCCACAATCCACCTCCAGTTTATAGCCAGCCCTATATCATGGGCACAGATGAGGGAGGTCTTCAGACTTAAACTAGGAGCCCCCTAACGTGAGATTTCCTTGCAGAACATCATCTTTTACTACTACAGCCCCTGGCACTTCTTTTTACATATATGTTCACTCTCTCTACTTCTGAATCTCTCTTCCTATCTTTACTTCTTTCCAGTTACGGGTCCATTTCTTCCAGATTGTCCCAAATTAACATCTACAGTGATAACGACCACTATATTCCTAAACCCAATGGTTGATTCCTTCTCAGTCTTTATCTTACTAAGCTGCTCAGCATGTTTGATATGTTTCTTCACTAAGTAGTTACTAAGTCATTTTGAAAAGAAACTCATTTAGAATATTGAAATTTAGTCAGACATTTTGATACAAAGAAATAATTATTTAGAAAGTTCAAGAGCTCCTGTGTGTGTGTGTGTGTGTGTGTGTGTGTGCATATGTGTGTGTATATATATATATATATATGTATATATACATTCATAGATTTAAATTTCACTTTTTCTCTGTAAATATTTTCTTTCCTTTACTTCTGTGATAGAACATGCTCTTTGTATTTCTCTTTCTTTCCAGTAATTCATTTTTAGACTTCTTGACTGATTCCTTCTCCTTTACCCAGCAGTTAAATGTTTGAATGCTCCGGACTCCATGTTCTGTCCTCTTCCCTCCATTACCCCATTTTCATCCTAAGTCCCTGTAGGTTGTCTGGGTTTTAAATATCACTTGTCTGCTGCTATCTTCAAAAGTGGCATCATTTTCTCAAATTGTGTGTGTGTGTATGTGTGTATGAAAATCTGATAACAAAGTTATATATGTGTTACATAATGTATACATATGCACACACACACACATAGATATATAATGATACTATAGAAGGATAATATAAAATTTAACATTAATTTATTTCAAAAGGCATTTAAGCTTATATAAAAATTATTTCTTTGTATCAAATTATGATGCATTTTGGCATTTTTTTCAAATACCCATAAGTATATTTGTCTGCTTATACCTATTTGGATGTTTTAGCACATCAAAAGCAGAAATTTTACTATATCCTAACCATCATTTCTTCCCCAATCTTCTCTATCCATTAAATTTCATTTACCGTCTACCCAGTTTCTTCAGGCCAAGAACCCAGGAATCCTTGATGCTCCTGCTTTCCACTCCCCCCATCCCATTAGTTTTACTTCCAAAATACAACTTAGCTTTACTACCACTCTTTCTCTTTACCAAAACTGCCTCCTGACTGGCCTCCTGACTTAATCTTCTAACCCCCATAGTTCAGCCAAAATGAATTTTAAAATCTTAGATAATTTCTCCACCTGGACTAAAATTCTCTAATAGTGATCCATTTTCCTTTGACTGAAGTCCACACCTTTCCAGGCCTACAAGGTTGGTGTGATCCAGTCCTTACCCACCTCCTCAATCTGATTTCCTCCCCCTTTCTCATTACTCACCTTGTCCCTTACTGTCCTTGAAGTAGACTGGATCTCAGTACCATGGTACTGCTAATCCCTCTGCCTGGAGTGTTCATCTTCACAGTGTTACGTTTCTACTTACCTTTCAAATCTAGACCAAAGGTCATCTCCTCAAAGATACTCTCCCAGAAATGTCCTTTTAAAGTTTTGCTCCCTTACAATTACACTCTGTTCCATTAGAATGTTTTTTCCACTTTGCATCAATCAACATCTCTGTCTCCTAATAAAAAGTGAGCCCCATCATAGCAGAGTCAAGATCTCCTGCCTTCTGTCTCTCCCCAGTATCTAGGACAGTACTGGGTTCATAGCAGCTTAGCAACCGTTTGTTCCATGAATAAATGCATAATTATCACATAGTAGGCCCTCAAATGTTTCTTCACTAAGTAGTTACTAAGTCATTTTGAAAAGAAACTCATTTAGAATATTGAAATTCAGTCAGACATTTTGATGCAAAGAAATAATTATTTAGAAAGCTCAAGAACTCCTTCTGTGTGTGTGTGTGTGTGTGTATATATATCCATAGGTTTGAATAGACAGAATGAGAAAGACATTGCACGTTATTGTATATGTCAGGAACAAGTTTTGATTAAGTCAGTGAGTAGTAAAATATTTTAAACAAAAATTTTACCATATTTTTATTTCTCTGATGTCTTACATTTAAGGGGAAATATTTTAAATTAAAATATAAATATATGCAATATAAATATCTAATTATAAAATATAAAATTCTATTCATTCACTTGGAACGTTACTATTGAACTTGTTATAATCCAAGATTTTCCTTGGCTTTTTCCCAGGGGATTTTTTTAAATGAAGTACCAGAATTTCGAACTACTTAAATATACCACTAATGACTGACAAAAATTATTATACAACTCTGTGTGTGTGTGTGTGTGTGTGTGTGTGTGTGTGTGTGTATAGGTTGAGCACCTCTAATCCAAAAATTTTAAATTTGAGGTGCTTCAAAATCCAAACTTCTTTTAGTTCCAAGATGATTCCACAAATAGAAGATTCTAAACCTTACCTCATATGACAAGCTATAGCCAAAACACTACAATACAAAAATACTGTATGAAATTACATTTAGGCTATGTGTATGAGGTGTGTATAAAAACATAAATGAATGTCATGTTAGACTTTGGTCCCTTACACATATCATGTCATTATGTATATGCAAATATTCCAAAATCTGGGGAAAAAATCAGATACACTTCTGGTCACCAGCATTTTGGTTGAGGGATGCTCAACCTCTGTGTGTGTGTGCGTATACACATAAATATCTATTTATATACTTGTATGTACATATTACGTATATACATGTTTTATATGTATGGGGGTATAGGTGGCTGTATGTAGTGAAAGAGAAGAAAACAATTTTTGTCTGTTAACCAGTGGTAAAAAAGAGATATAGGAAAAGTGCTTCTTAAGTAATCATAATAGAATTCATAAAGTTTATAACATTGAGAAAATGTTGGTTACAACATTGTTCTAGGACAGTAGATCTTTCAACCATTGCTGTGTGTCAGATTAATTCAATTGATTAGAACAGAACATAATAAGACATAATATTGAGCCTAAAATCATGAGTTCATCCTTTAGTGTGGAAAAATCATGAGCATAATTTTATTCCTTACCCTCTGTAGATAGAGATCTATAGATTTGGTGTTAATATGTTCAGAGCCATGTTGTTTCTACCATTTTTTCATCGTACACCAAAACAAATTGTTGCAGAAGAACACCACAATGGAATGCACAAAAATGGAGTAATAATGCAGCATTCTTTTTTGTCCTTAATGTTCTTGCCTCTAAGACAAAAAAAATTACATTTCCTACGATTCTTACAGCTTGAAATTTATGTCCAGGCATCAGCTCATACAACTTCGGCACCATTAGGGATAGTTCATGAAAGAAAAAGTCTCTGCAAGAAGAGATGTCTTTGCTATGTAGTTTTAAAAAGTAAAGAAAATTAGGAAAGTTTTCCTTAGTGGCCTTTAACTCAAATTTATAAAACACAGGACCCTGTTTGTTTGTTTGTTTGTTTGTTTTTTGTTGAACAGCACTTTATTGGATAAGTTAGATTCAATAAATGTTTATTAGGGATCGATTATGTACAAAATACAGAATTTAGCTATGAGGAGAATTAAAGGATAAAGCTATTCTTTTAACAAATTTGTGGTTAGTATCTGTATCAATCCCTGCTCTAGGTGCTAGAATCAACAGTGAAGAATATAGATAAGTATCCCATTGCTTTCACATTTATGTTCTAGTCAACTAAACTTTGGGCATGTTCTGAAATAATGCAGTATATGAGAGGGGGGTTGCACTGAGATCGGGACCTGCAACACTGATTTAATCACTGTAATATACAGGAGTGGTAGGATAAGTGGCATAAAAAGAAAAACAAAAAGGAAATAACTTATAGGTTAAGATCCATAGAAGATAAAACATTCAATTAAGAGATTAAGAGAAATTGAGAGAGATTAGAGAATGAACTGAGAACAGATTAATCTACCCAGGATTAGGTACAGGGGTATGAAGGCATGGGTTTAATGCCTAAATTTGTAATTATGAATCATTGGAATGAAAAGACAAGTTATAAAATATCCCAGAAGTAACATTAGCCAGGGGTGTTCAGGAGGGTAAACCGTGAGCTAACTTGTGTAAGGAAGATACAGAAAGAATAGAGCTTTACAGTTCTAAGTGGCACTGTTTTGCGTCTCAGAGATGCCCTATGGCAGGACACAGAAGGAGCCCCGGTGCAAATTACACCTAAGAACTGTCAGAAAACTCCAGTCATGGGGCCATTCCTGCATGAATAGCAATGGGAAAGGAAAGCCAGTCAAGGAGTTTAATAGATACTGCCCAGAAGAGCAGTCAGCCCTCATATCTTTTCATGTCTCTGTCATTCTTG